TGAATATTACACCAAATGCACCCGATATAGTGTAGACAGATATAGTTGTTACAGAATTTTTGCAAATCAACACAATTGAGCTTGGGCTACCTGTGAACCAAATGGATGAATCTGGACTGGGCGCCAGAACTTTGTATATACAGGAGCCCATTAAGTTCAAGATAAATACATTCCTTCAGTTGTACAGGATAAAAGTCGCTTACCTTTTTGAGTCGTTTCCTTGAATACTGAGGACTTCTGTTGAAGACGTTCCACCGATATCTGAAAGAACTGAAATATTGAACAACAGTTATAGAATAGTTGTGTAAGAAGATAAATTTCAACTCCGTAAAAAAGTAGGTGAAACAACTTACTAGTAAGTTCTCTCACGTACTTTTTTACGGTGTTAAAATTTATCTTTTTTTACACTAGACTGCATGTTTCTTTAGAAACACCGACGCAGCTCACACTAGTTTACCGCTAGTTTCAATCTGTTATAGAATAGACAAATTATAGTACTTGCACTTTTGGGTCACCGGTAAAGGGAGACCCCAAAACTGACACCCTCGAAAATTACCCGGATAAATGCCTTTAAACTGAAGGATATTTCTTACACCATGATTGTGTATAGCTTTTGGATAATGCACTTTTGATGGTGGGGTTTCTTTTACAGATTCAGAAAACAAATACCCTATATTATGCCTTAAAACATAAAAGTTCTATCAACTGGACCGTTTAGAATTCGGTGTTATTTGGGGTATTCGTTTTCCAGGTCTTCATTCACTCTCGTACCCAGATCTTTCTCAGTTTCGCAAACATTCGCAACAGTTTTCTAGCACAGAAATCTATATAGTGTAGTCATTCTTGTACCTTTGTGAGGCTGAACCGAATACTCCAGCTCCATGTCATTAGAAGTCTTGTTGTCAGCATCAAATAACAACAGACACTTTGATTCATCACTGTTAGTTTAAAACACGCAATTATTAGTGTCATTTTGATCTTAGGAACATGGGTGGATACAGGATTTTCCTCAGGGAGGGGGCTTTTTCAATTAAATACGTTCTACTAGAGAAGAAAATGCTATACAACTTCGATTTATTTATTTTTTGTATTGTTGCAAGACATTCATACTCCAGCTTTGAAATCTCTAAAAAGTCTCAGTTTCAATTTCGCATAATACTTTTTGCGTTCTTTGCATTACAGCGGAGTCTGAATGAGAGAAATACAGAATATTTTCCACACTTTGAAGGAAAGTCAGTGCAAAATAAGGTTCCAAAAACTGGAGTAAATAATACAAATTTAACTAGGCTAACTAAGCAGCCAAAAATGCACCCTTTTTCCCAGTAGAAGAGGAGTGTTGTTTTTACCTTGGGATTGCCCGCAGTTCATAATTATGACAGTGAAGACTCGGCACAACAGAGACATCTATCGTCATGGAAACCCGCCGGCATAAATGATCTTTATCAAGTTCCCCAGAATATCGAAATGTTATAGTTCCATTAAGCCCCCATGGTGCTT